CTGGACCGGGTCACGGCTCTCCCCCCACCCCCCCGCCTCCTTTGCACATCCCCGCGTGTAACGAGTTAAACGGGGCGCGTAGGAGGGCGCAGCGCCGAGTTGGGGGGCACAAAAGATTTCTGTGTGCGCGGCCGGGAACTCGGCGCCTTAAAGCGAAATGCAGAAACTTCGCGCGGTGGCCGGGTTGCGGTTCAAGGTATTTTCTGGGCAGTGCAGGAGCACAATAGTGCTAGGAGATTGTTTTTTTTTCCTCCCCCGTCTTGGATCCTTAGGGTTTCCTTGGGCTGTTTTGGTCTAATACACAAATTACGCTCCTTTTCAATCCCTTTTCCCTAGGAATAGCTGCGTCGGGCGTCTCTGCAGTTTGTTACCTTTATGTCATCGCAGCTAGAAAATGCAGTTCAATCTCTGAAACTGCGATACCAGTGAGATCTTATTGAATTCTAGCACTTATTCCTTTGGATTTGCATCATTATTCCCAGGCTGTTTTAGGGAACATTTTGAATGGTTAGTGTGGGAATGTGTACAAATCTGTTTCGTTGTAGCTGTGTACACTCTGGACTATCAGTATTGGAAAAGGTTTACACTATTCAACAGTGGAAGTAAACTTACAAACACTGACTTTCACTTTCAAGGAAATAACTGTCCTGACTCATAGCTAATTTAGAGAATTTTTGTAATTCAGCACTGTTACAGGTGTGTATGTGCTCCCCCTCACACCATTTGACAGTCATGTTCGATAGCATTCATTTTATACCTGTTTTTCATTTCAGTTAAAACCTATGCTTAGTACATATTTGACTATATCGAACCACAGTTCTTTTTAGCTTTTTTATTTCTCAGCTGCACCATTCCCATATTTTACAATTACATAAAGGTGGGTGTGGCTAAAATGAAAGCAGTAAGCAGCCTAATATCAATATAGGGTGTACGCTAAGTAGTTTTTGCTCCCTTATATTTGGTATACCTCTTATTTTGAAGTATTTGAGGAAAAATCATGCAGCTTAAATAGACCCCTGTTGAACTGCTTGCATTTTTCACTTTAGTTAAAATGTCAAACATTAACTGGGGTTACTTGGCCCTGGAAAAGTTGCATGCAGAGGAAATATCAAATGAACTTAAAGATCTAAACATATGTATTTACATTATATCGATAAATGAAAGTTAATATTATATGACTAGTAGAATAGTGCTTAGGCATACCATGCAACATAGAAAATATTATTTTAATTTTTTTTCCCTTTCGGTCCTGTCTTGATTCTCAGAAAAACATTAATAAACTTCAGTTGTCCTTTTTTTTCTTTTTTTTCTATTACTGAATGCTTCCAAGTGACATGTTTCTTTTTACAAATATAAGCCTAGTGAAGCTCAAAATGCCTTTGAAATTTTTAATTTTTCAAGACTAACAGTAATTTGAAAGAGCAGGCACATGTCTATGACTTTTACATGAATTACGGTCATATTACATAGGAATCGTATTGTAGTAGTGTTTTAAAAATAGACTTTATACACGATAAAAAGCCATTACAGTTTTTTTTTTTTTTTTTTTTTTTTTTGCTTAGCTAGTGTAATCACTTAGCTAGTGGTGAACATGCTATTCTACCCCACAAGTAGTATCACAGAAGAAATTCTCATCTGAAATTATAGCCTTTATTTGCCTAATTATCCTCATACTAATAAGACAAATTTTGTAGATAAGCACAAGTGGAACTGCAAGCCTGTTACCTGTCTGTGCACACCCTGCCTGTGATCACTGTAGGGAACGAGCACACATCATGCAGCTCGAGTGTCACAAGCCATCCCAACAGGTGTAGCTGCACTTTTCTATAACACTTTTATGTATACACAAGCATACTGCCATTCTTTATGTAAAAACTAGTC